CCTGGAAAATCCCACGGACAGAGAAGCCTGGAGGACTATAGTCCACTGGGTTGCAAAGAGTCGGACATGACTAAGCACACACATAAAATAAGAGAACAGAAAAAAACAACAGGTTCAAGGAAACCAAAAGTTGGTTCTTTGAAAAGATCAACAAAATTGACAAACTTTTAGCTACACTGACAAAGAAAAAAGAGAGAAGACACAAAAAACTAAATCAGAAATGAAAGTAAGGATATTACTGTTGACCTTACAGATATAAGGACTGTAACAGAATACAATGAACAAACTATATAGCAACAAATTAGATAATATAGATGAAACTGATAAATTACTAGAAACATACCAATCACTAAACTGACTGAAGATGAAATACAAAATCTCAACAAACTTATTTAACAAGAAGAGATTCAATCAGTGATCAAAAACTTCCCCAGAAGTAAAGGCCAGCGCTGGATGGTTTCAATGGTAAATTCTAACATTTTAAGAAGAATTAAGAACAATCCTCTCAAAAGCTCTTCCAAAAATATAGAAAAGAAAAAAAGGGCAAAGTGTTTAGGTTAATTCCTGTCATATAGTAAGCACCATATGAGTTTGGGCTATTATTACTATTTATTTACTATTATTACTATTATTATTGGGCTTCCCCGGTGACACACTGGTAAAGAATCTGCCTGCAATGCAGGAGATGCATGTTTGATTCTGGGATCAGGATGATCCCCTGGAGAAGGAAATGGCAGCCCACTCCAGTACTCTTGCCTGGGAAATCTCATGGACAGAGGAGCGTGGAGGGCTACAGTACCTGGGATCACAAAGAGTCAGATACAACTGAATGAGCACATATACACTATTATTATCATACAGCAAAAGGCTATTTACTTCTAAAAGGTCTCCAAAGTAGACATTATATAATCTCCCCTTGCTCAACAATCATTACCAAGATACACTGCTTCTAGTGAAAAATTGTAAAGCAATAATACACAAACTCTGGAGACAGACTGTGGAGCTGACTCCTAATTTTGCCACTCTGTAGCTGTATGAGTCTTAGGTCATACAGCTTACTTAACTCTGACTGCCTAAATTTCTTCTTCTATAAAACAGGAATGGTAACAGTATACCCATTCTTTACTGGATTGCAGTAAGGGTGAAGTGAGGTATAAAGTATGTGCAAAAGGGCTTAGAGAAATGTCTGGACACACAGCAAGTGCAATATATATTTGCTATTACTTAAGCAATTTGTAAAATAGTAAGCTAATGTGTTAATTATACACCATGTGCTATGATAAGCACTTATATTACATTTTTTTCCTTACAAAATCCCTACTATACAGATGACAAGGGTTGAAAAGGGCTTTCAAAGGTAACGCTGCCTGTCATACTGCTATGAAGTGATGGAAATAGGATGCAAACCCAAGTATTTCTGGATACAAAGCCAGAGCTCTTTATTTTTCGTAAAGGATTCACCTCAACCATTTTCTCTCCAGGGCTAGTGACAAACAGGCAAAATCAAACACACCATTCTTCTCCCTGATCCCAGAGGAAGCTGCACAAACCTCCCTTTCTGAACACAGCCCTATGCACAGTTACTATCAACAGCAAAGTTGGTATGAGGAATAATATCAACTGGACATCCTTGCTATTTATAAACTGTCTCTCATACAAAAAGAGGGAGAGTCTTATTTAAGGAAGATAGCTTTAATTACTTCATAATCAAACTATGATGAACCACAGGTAAAACAATTTTATATGTAAGGTTACTTAGAGAAATATTTTTTAAAGAAAACTATTACCTGATTTAAATAAAAGCTAAGTCTCTTGTAAAAACAAAAAATGGTTTCCATACTCCTGCAGAATCCCAGGCTTCTACAAACATGAGCTGCAACTCAGAGAAGGCAGTCAGTTGTTCTCATACCCCAGTTTCAATCAGGAACAACTGTGCTTTTTATCTGTTCTACCGGTAGAACAGAGGTTCTTCATAAATTTCATTTAGGAGGGAAAAGTTTCTACTGCTGAATACTGACACTAAGAAACACTATTCTCTAAGATACTTGGAATTCACAAAAGTATTATAAACCCAGAGTTTCAAAACATTGAAAAAATGTTTCTCTCTGATCAAGGAGAAAGTACTATTTATTCTGAACTAAATCAGAGTCAATAAAATCTATTAGGTAACTCGGAGTATAATAACTTGACTACATGATGCTCCAATTACTAAATACTAATAATTCCAACCAGAAGACTATGACTGAGACTAATCTGGTCACATCGCTAGTCCCTGTCCTGACTTAATTCCTCCTTCTAGTTACATTGGCTACTCTTTTCCACAACTATAGGCTAAAAGTATATTATGTTTAACTCCCAAAGACAGCTTTTAAAATGGCAGGGTGGCACAAAGTGAGAAAGTCACCAAGATGGCTATTCCTATAACCATTCAGTCAAACTGTGGTCAGTGGAAATATCTGTCAAACATTACAGCCATCCTACCTGAACTTTACCCAGAGCTGGAAAGTGCTTATGGACAAAAATTATGATACGGCCTTTGGGTAGCTTAACTATATTCTCAAAATAAAAATAACAATAGGGGAAGAGTTAAGAATATTATGTAATACAAAAACTCAGTGGAATATTATATAACCAATAACTAAAAATATTATGAGGCAACAAGGAAAAGCTTTTGAGATTCAGAAGTAATCAACAGAGAGATACCAACAGACACCAGACACCAGAGTTAAAAAGGGAAAATACATTTGAGGGGTTGCCAGACAGGTAAGTCTTTGGGTGTTACCACAAAAGGTTTGTTCGAAAGATTTGTTCTTCCCTTTCTGCTCTTTATATTTGTAAGAATTAAATGAGTTAGTATTTGTAAAGCACTAAAAACAGTGCCTGACATATAGGGAAAGCTATATATATATAAAATTCTTTTCAATTATGGTTTATTAACAGGATATTGAATGTAGTTCCCTGAGCTATATAATAGGACCTTGCTGATTATTCAGGGAAAGCTATATAAATTAAGCAATCAAAAGATGTTCAAGGGGTTTTGTAGGGAGGCCTGTGCAAATGAATCCCCACGCAATTCAGTGGTTCATGGAACAAATAATCCTGACCTTTATTTTCCTCTGTGGGGTATTATAATGTCTAGCATCTAATAACAAAACCCACAGGGATGCAAAATTCCATTATAATAGTGCTTTGAACATAATAGATGCTCCATAATTTTATTTGGGAAGGGGCAGGAAAAAGAAATGACATGTCAAAACAGATACATAACAGGCAGTTTGTAGGTTAAAAAAAAAAAGGTAGCATGAACCAAGTAAAGGGCTTAGGAAATAAAAGAGCTCAAATACTTATGAGGGCTTATAGTCCCTAAGATAAGCAAATGCATCATTTAAACTTAGGGAAAAAAAATTCAGAGAACACCTAAGAAATGAGAGTCACTAAAGGGCCAATTTGCTAATTATGGTTGTTAAAACCTTAGCTATGACACACACACACACACACACATACACATGCAATAATTATATATCTGTAGGTATGTATATCACAATCCTGGCTTAATACACAGGTACTTTCCCATATTACAGGCTCTGTCATGGAAAAAAAAAAGAATTTCTAAGGAAATAATCTAAATAAAATTCAATGGAAAATGACTAAATGGTACACTAGGAAATATGTGAAGTAAAAAAGAACTGGCTAGAAATCAAGAGGTATTATGAATCTAAGGAATTTGGGAAGTATATGCATGGTATGTGGGCTTCCCTGGTAGCTCAGACAGTAGAGAATCTGCCTGCAATGCAGGAGACCTGGGCTGGATTCCTGGAAGATCCTCTGGAGAAGGGAATAGCTACCCACTCCAGTATTCTTGCCTGGAGAATTCCATGGACAGAGGAGCCTGATGGGCTACGGTCCATAGAGTCTCACACGACTGAGTGACTCAAACACACATGCACACACACACATGGAAGGGTCCAAAATATAAAATGAACTTCTTCAAAGTGATGTTAATTTAGCCAAAGAGTTTAAGTGCTTATTACTCGTCCTCCCTCTTCACCCATACCAGTGAAGGATCTGGAAAGAAGGAACAGTGAATAGACAGAAAGAAAAAGACAACGGTAAAACTGAAGAAAATGATTTTCTATGCTTCCAACTCCAGTGAGTATAAGGTATTACTTACGGTATCTTTTAAAGAGAAAATCAAAGGGTAGGAGGCTAAGGGGAATTCAAAGCAGGAGATCTTTCTTTATTCTTTGCTTTTACAGAATTAAATGTGATAATAAATAGTGATCACTTACAAGAAGCTCTGTAATATTACATCTTTTCCAACTTTTTAATGTAATCTATCCCTAGAATAGGTTAAACTTGCTTCCTAATGTTTAAGTATCATTCTGGTCCAAAGTCCTCCCACTTCCTGTTCCCCTCCAACACTTCCAACTGACATAATTTCCAAATCATCATTTCCATCACTTCCAACATGACAATACTTCCAAATTGACATCATTTTCCTCCCTCCAATAAACACGTAAACTATCACGGGCTCCGGGAGCCTACAAGAAGAAACACAAAAGTTTTTGAAATATAGAACTTTAGAACTAAAGAAGAAAATTCTTAAAAATTAATCCCCTCCATCATTTCATTCGGGTTTTCCCTGGTGGCTCAGTGGTAAAGAATCCATCTGCCAATGCAGGAGACACGGGCTTGATGCCTGGGTCTGGAAGATCCCCTGGAGAAGGATCACTCCAGCATTCTTGCCTGGGAAATCCCATGGACAGAGGAGTTGACAGGCTACAGTCCAGGGGGTCACAAGAGTCAGACACAACTTAGTGACTTGACTAAACAATGATATCAAATGATCATATTGTGAGGATAGAAACACTAGGACATGTGTTTTGGAATTCTTCCATTCAATAAGCAAAGCTGTCTTGATGGGAGGACTGGATACAAACTTTTTCTAAAAGAATATCAAGCCTATCACAATATTCAGTAAACACGTTCTAAAGACCTACCTTTTCACCACTTGAGTAGAAGAAATAACGCAATCGGACTATGTTACAGTGATCTAGCTTTCTCATGATCTGGAGCTCTCGGTTCTGAAAAGGAAACATATGAAAATATTTTTAAGGGCTACCTGCACATATTGACTAAGATGCTTCTGAAATAACATTGAGCACTTCAAAGAGCAGGCTACAGATATGTTACTAAAAAGTAACATCCATATGTTACGGTTTCACCAGTCTGACCATTGTTCTGCAGTAAGATAAATACAGAAATCGAAAATAAGTGTTCAGAAACTTTTATTGCAATTTGAAAGAACAATTTTACATCCATGAATCTTACAGTTAAAAGTAGGGCCTATATTTTCCTAAGTTTCACTTTTCTCATAATTCATTTTTATTGTATTGTATAAAAATACAAGTCTTCAATGAACTGAAAAATTTTAAAACTGGTACCTCACTACAAATAGTTTGAGAAGGACTGGTTTATGTATGCAAGAGATAACTGAAATGAGTTATTATTACTATAATTTTTTTCAATTATAATAATAACCAACTTCTCACCAAGCAAATGAATATGGGTACAAAGAAAACTCTCACATGCCCTGTTTTCCAAAATGCAGTGAAAAATCTGAGTTAGCCCTATTTAGAAGGGCTCAGTTGCTAGAGTTAAAATATGATATACTAGAAGGTGCACAGTCCTGAAAATTTATAGATCACACAAATAATTTTTCCTTAGGGGAGTTTCAAAGTTATGCTTCAAGAAAATAAAACATTAAACAATATGACAACTTCCCAACACTGCAATGTAAATTTTGCAGTAATAAATTTGAGGAGAACATATTAATATATACATACAAATAAAGAAGTTAAATTCCAAGAATATACTTAACTGTCAGAAATCCAGTTAATAAAGTCCAAAATATCTATTAACATAGAAAAAGAATACCAAAATACTTGCTAAATGGACAGAAATATAAAATTTCTGTTAAAATGATTTAGAAGAGCTACAATCATAAAGTACATACCTGGGAATTTGGAAGGTAAATGCTACTATGCTTAGAAAACAAGACCAAAATAAAGGGGTTGGGATGTATTATGGACAAAAGGCCTAATAAGCAGAACTGTCTTAGAGCAGAGTGGGCTCCAGTTCTTAGAAGATGACAGCACAAATAAACAAACATTCCTCTTCCCTAGAAATTTTCAATAAACTCCATGATGGTTCTAGCATGTTCTCTAAAATGAAAGAGGGAACTTAAGATGATTCTCCTTCTGACTCTTTAAACCGAGTACGAGAGCTGGGCTTATGTATACAGTAATATTTAAAATCCTTTTTATAAAATATCAATCTTTCATTCCATTACTTGTTATGTTTATAGCTGAAGCAATAAACATGAAACTCAAGGCAGTACAGTATACTCACTTTAACAAGGATAATACCTAGTATCAGACTCTGAGTTCTATTACAGATGACACAAAATTTTACAAATTTCAAAACTGTCCATTTTTTGTTCCAAATCAAAGCTGTTTTTTGAAGTATGTCTATACTCTGTCAATTCACATCTAGGTAGCTAGTTTTGTGGGAGAACTGCTAGTAAGTTAAGACTCCTTCTCAGATATTAAGATTTTTTTTTAACATCGACAGCTATATTAAAATAAGCTATTTTTCTAGACCCATTAACCAAGGTAACAGAGAAGTATTAAATTAAATTTCCATGTAATTTATGGAAATTTATGGAATTTATGTTAAGACTATGCATACAGGGCTTCCCCGGCAGCTAAGCAGTAAAACAATCTGCCTGCAATGCAGGAGATGCAGGAGACGTGGGTTCCATCCCCAGGTTGGGAAGATCCCCTGGTGGAGGGCACAGCACAACAACCCAATAGAGTATTTTTGCCTGGAGAATCCCATGGATGGAGGAGCCTGGTGGGCTACAGTCCAAAGGGTTGCAGGTAATTAGACACGACTGAAGTGACTGAGTGTGTACACATATACTATGCATATGATCTTTTATCAAAAAGAATATAAGTGAAGAAAGTATATGGACTCAAATATTTATCTACCCTTACTTCCTCTTCATATTCTATTTTTGAAAGGAGGCTTAAATTTTCTCATTTTAAAATTCTCTAAAAGATCCAAAAGATAAATTTCACAGAGCAATTTTTAAAGTATTAATCAAGCCAATATTAGACAAAGCTTATGCCTGAGATACATTTAATATACAACTATCCCAAGCCTAACTTTTTACTGAGTCATTCTTTATTAGTGCATGAATGACATACTAATTCTACAGAAAAAAAAGTTGTTATTCTACAAATATAGTGTACCTCTTCTGTGCCAAGCATCATTTGCAATATTAAGGATATGGCAGTGAATAAGAATAACCAAGTTCTTAACTTCATGAAACTTTCAACCTATGGAAGACAGTTCAGTTCACTTCAGTCGCTCGTTGTGTTCAACTCTTTACGACCCCATGGACTGCAGCACACCAGGCCTCCCTGTCTATCACCAACTCCAGTAGTTTACTCAAACTCATGTCCATTGAGTTGGTGATGCCATCCAATCATTTCATCCTCTGTCATCCCCTTCTCTTCCTGCCTTCAATCTCTCCCAGCATTAGGGTCTTTTCAAATGAGTCAGTTCTTTGCATCAGGTGGCCAAAGTATTGGAGTTTCAGCTTCAGCATCAGTCCTTCCAATGAATATTCAGGACTGATTTCCTTTAGGATGGACTAGTTGGCTCTTCTTGCAGTCCAAGAGACTCTCGCAAGTCTTCTCCAACACCACAGTTCAAAAGCATCAATTCTCCAGCACTTAGCTTTCTTTATAGTACAACTCTCACATCCATACATGACTACTGGAAAAACCATGGCTTTGAATAGACAGACCTTTGCTGGCAAAGTAATGTCTCTGCTTTTTAATATGCTGTCTAGGTTGGTCATAGCTTTTCTTTCAAGGAGGAAGCGTCTTTTAATTTCACGGCTTCAGTCACCATCTAAGGTGATTTTGGAGCCCCCCAAAATAAAGTCTGCCACTGTTTCCCCATCTATTTGCCATGAGGTGATGGGACCAGAGGCCAGGGAGGAATAAACAATATATTTTCAGATCATAATAGAAAGAAGGGGCTGTTATTTTAGATAGGGAAGTCAGAGCAGATCTCACAAAGAAAGTTAAGATCTAAGGACAAATCTGAATCCTATGAGGATGAGAACCATGTGAGGCTAAGCGGGGAAAGCACTACAGTTACAGAGAACTTCAATACAAATGCCCAGAGGTGGGCTTGAAAGTGAAAGTTGTTTAGTCGTGTCCAACTCTCTGCGACCCCTGGACTATAAAGTCCATGGAATTTTCTAGGCCAGAATACTGGAGTGGGTAGCCTTTCCCTTCTCCAGGGGCTCTTCCCAACCCAGGTATTGAACCTAAGTCTCCTGCATTGCAGGCAGATTCTTTACCAGCTGAGCCACAAAGGAAGACCAGAAGAGGACTTGGCATATTCAAAAACAGCTAGAAGAATAATGTGATTGCATCACTGAGTAAAGGAAAAGGCAGGAAACAAGTATAGAGAGACAGGCAGGAGGGTATGTCATATTAACTCTAATGAAACTGAATTCTAAACTAAATGAAAGGAAAGCCAAGGAGGCCAAGCAAATGACATAATCTGATTTACCTTTTTAAATGATCATTTTAAAACTAAAAATAAATGTGGGGGAGGAGGTGAATCACAAGTTGTTTTTTGTTTGAACGTGGATCAAGAGTTCTGTTTGAAATCCTAATATTAGACATCCAAGTAAAAATACTGAGGCTCAAGGTAGAAGTCTGGGCTGGAAATCTGTGTCTGGGAGACATTTGTATAAAGGGGACTCAAAGCACGAGGACCTAATAACATCACCTAGGGAAGAAGTTCAGACAAATACACACATACAGACACACACTCACACACACACACTCATATATCTGTATCTCTCTACCAAGCTATCTATCCATCTATCCATCCATCCACAGGTATGAAAAGGAGTATATCAAGTGGAGCAATCAATAAAGTAGGATAAAAAACAAGAGGTTACCTTACAGGCCAAGTGAAATAAGTTTTCAGAAAAAGGCACTGACCATTTATAGCAAAAGCTGCTGAATAAGAAATTAAGATGAAAACATAGGACAAATGAATATGGCAAATGCAGGATGTTAGTGACTCTTACAAGTGTGATTTCAGTGGTGATAAAGTCTGACTAGAGTGAATTAAATTGGGATTGGGAGGGAGACACAGGGAAATAATTAAAAAGTCAGAAGGTTCAAAAAGAAATGAGATTTTCAGCTCTAGCAGAAAGAACAGATCAGCAAATTCGCTCCCCAAAACACATATAAAAAGAACTGTACTGTAGATAACAATCATTTCAAGGCTCTGGAAACCAACCAAAAGCAACAACAAATCAAGAAGCGTTTATTCAAGAAACACAGCTAAGATATTAGAGTTAAGACAGTGGGGGCCAGTGACCGTCTTGCTAGTGACCTCCCCTCTCAATCACCTCTCAGCTCAGCCACAGCTCTGCTACCGTAAGAATGCAAAACCAGGTGGGGAAGATGACAGAGTGGCAGAATATTAAGAAATACAAAAGGAGATCTTGGAAATGAAAGAGGCTAAATAAAGTCTCTACATACCCCCGTGCTGATTTATAGGCTGTGCACACATGGGAGATCCAAGAGAGCCTTGGAGAAAAGTAAAAGCTGAGGCTGACTTAAAAAGCGCCTGAATTTCAAATGTATTTCTCAACCCGTGAACAGAATCATCTAAGAAATGATGGAAACTTTATAAATTCAAAATATTTGAACACAATTTCTAACCAATAACTGGCTGGCCACTAAGCAATGCAGACAAAGAGTCCAATCCTAAGAAATCAGGCTAAAAAATGAAAACTTGAATAAACATTTAACACAGAATTCAGGGGTTTCAAACTGGCAGAAAAAGAGTCTAGATCAGATCCAGGTAAATTGAAAAAAAAAAAAGGAAAAGAAAGAAAACTACCAATAAAACAAGTTTCAGGAGGATTAAAAAAAAAAAGTTAACAGAACTCAGAGTTCTACAATATATTATCTAAAAC